CGGGCAGCTCGGATAAGCTGTCCGTGGCGCCTTTCTCTGTGCTGGGGGAACGGTCAAGTGGACTAGACGGAGGGTTCGTGGACATTTTGGAGTTAGCACTGCTTGAACAGTTGGAGAGTATGTCCAGATGCTTGTCAACAGAGATGCGGAGAGGCGTAGCAGAATTACTTGCGCATTACAGAGAGTCCGCAGCGGACGAATAACTCCGACAATCATCACTATACGCTAACCATATCTGGACTAGTTCATCTATCTTCTTCGACCAACCCTGAGGCATCAAGGCAACAAGGCAGGAAGGCAGGAAGGCAGGAGTCCATTGTCCCTAACTGTCTAGTATACTCGTGTGGAATCAACGGCGACGCTCTCACCGGTTAAAAGACATATGTAAATGATATTCTCATTTTCACTGCGGCTTATCCAGAATACTATAGTTCAGCTTTTCACTGATTCGCTCGCCGCAGGAACAGAGAATCGAGGCTACTTCGAACTCGACATTGGCAGTCTGCTAGCTTAACTCAAGACCAATGCAAGGCCAACGCGTCAAAGATGCAAGCATGACTTCTTTTATCAGACCGATAGAAAGTTCCATTAAAAAAGGTCTGTTGCTTGCTGGAATAGTCTCGAGCAAGAGCCGGCAACCAGAACGTGCAAGGCCCAGCAATGGGAAGAGCCTTCAGCATAGTCTAGGTTGATATCGAGCGCTTGATCTAAACTGACCTTCAGTAACCTCGATAGCCGAGAGATAGAACCATTTCTAAGCCGAAGGGCCTATGATTGAGACCACGGACTAGACAGTGACGGCAACAACCTGGGAGACCGCAGATGACTCGTTATGTTTGTTTGTGTCATCACAACTGGGCAGTCAGCAATCTGAAACTGAACCTCAGCATTCCATTGAGTGGAAATCTCATTAGAAATGTCTAGACTTTGAGTCAGATGTTAAGATTATTCGCCCAGTTCTCGGTATCGTTTGGATCTGCCTCGGTCAAGGGATGATCAATGAGATTAGAGTAGGAGGCAGGAATGTGACCGCTTAGATAGCCACTGTAGACACTTGGATAGGTCATTGCATCATACTAATAGTTTATCACCTAGAAACGATCATGAGGTCGATGAGACGTTAGTGATGCCGAGTGATAGTTTGCGCTGGTCTATGATGAGGTGACAGTGGAAGGGAACCAGTTTGTTGATACTATAGTCAAAATGATAGATTTTTCTGCCATAATAACATTCTGCGGTGAGATATATGAATCATTGACTTGTAGTATATTTCTGGACGAGTCTAGTGGGGAACTAGGTAGCAATAGACTGAGAGGACTTTAAGATGGACTTTGATATACTCTGCGGCTTGTCACTTCTCGGCCCTGTATAGACCAACGAAGCTCACAATAGCATTAAGGGTCAATATCGTAGCTCATATAGTACCATTACATTTGTTGTAGAATCTACATTTGTAACCCATAGCGCTCAATAACAGAAGGATAAACGAAAGTTCATACGTGTTGTGGGATGTTTCGCGGTGGATGTGGTCTAGATGTGGCACGGAGAAATATATATCTTAACCTACACAGACACAGTCTCAACACCCACCATTCATTTCAGCAGAAGGTACATCAAGAATAACAATGGAGTCCCTAAACCTGGTTCACTAAATACGGACTCCTATCGAATGCCCACGAGCATGGATTGAACGAATAACTGCGTGTGCGAAGGACCCATCTACTGCATATCGAAGTATACTGCAACTGGCACATCGGAACGAGACATTGTATAGAGACAAGCAGCATAGGCGAAACAGTACGACAACGAGCAAGCCGCTTTTTTACTCGAGATAATCATAATTGGAGAGCACACTTTCCTGTAGACCTCTTCGACGACTGGAGACTGGAGTACGGTTCACGGCTACACTGTCCAAATGCCTGCTCTACATGACTACAACTCATGATCAGGCCATGCGACCAGCTCACGTCCATCCACCACGAGGAGGCCTTTTATTATTTATTTTGAAAGATCCTCAATTGAGTAATGTGGAGCGCAGGGAGTGTTTCCCCGACAGCAACATGTGAGCTAGAGTGAAAACGGAAAGAGAACCAAAGTCGATTTCATCACGACTCAGCGACGAGCAACTGCGAACGGAGCGAGTTACATTCGGGAAGACAGGATTGCCTACTAGTGGAGCCATCTGGAAAAAGCACGCATCTACGTGCTCCATAGTTCCGATTGAAAGTCCCTTGCCTCGCTTGTTGCCAGGAACAAAGCAAAGGAGGAAATCAGCTTTCCCTTACCCACATGAGCCTGGCTAGAGCTCTCACCAAAGAAAGCACAAGAGAAAACCGGCTCGAGCACGCTCGGGAAATTTAATCTTGTTTATGACGAGGTAGAATGAGGCTGGACTGCTGGAGCCATGGGACAGGGTCAGCTACGTCGTAACCCTTGCGATGACTATACACTATCGACCAGTTGAACGAGACGGAAAGTCCCTTGCAGATCAACAACAAGACTTTGCAGGCCCTGCAAGCTTCTGCAACCTTGGATTAAATCAGCAGCACGCACGTTGGAACTATTGGCACCTGCATACCGAACGAGAGGCCCTTGAATACTCCGATCCCTAGTCGCTTAAGGGTTAGCCCTTCCCGTGCTATGCCAGCAGGTGCTCACTCTGTATTAAGTGAGAGTGGAGTCATACGGGATGCGCCACTGATAGAATGGCTGAAGCCGTAGGAATTGGCCATAATCGTGTGATATGGAGACTCAAGAAGAAGGCTGTTTTGAATGCGGTAAGCTTGCGATAGCTCCGCGGCAGGTAATGCAACCCAATGACCAAGCCGGCACAGGTGAGTTTACCGCTTGCATGTAAGATCGACGTAGTAGAACCAGGGGAATGAGACAGACGACGCGGACTATGCGGTCTCAGTCGATGCACGGCCGGTCCCCTGAACGAAGCGTGGCTCACGAGAGCGTGGTATGCTGGAAGCTGACTTGTTAGTTTAGATCAATCGAATGTTTTGCAGATCCATACCAACCGCTGGGGCAGAGAGCTCCAATCCAGGGCTGCGAGATTGCGATAACGCGGTTCTGACTCTGAAGGGACAAATCACGATGGATTCCTTGCATACCACATTCCACTCAGGGACTCAAGCTGGATAGCTACCATGACAGAGAGCTCAATCAAGGGCGGATACAACTAGCATCAACAGAGAGCCCGCTGCCTCCACCTGAGTCTATATAAAGATGTCTTCACTTCACCTGTGGCCATTCTCTTTCCTCTCCATCAACCATCACTCGTTGACAAGCCTTTCCTTCGAAGTACAATCTTCTCACTTTTTCTCAAACCCAAATTCACTCCGAGTCTTCACTCCCTTTTCAAACCCTACCGTCACAATGAAGTTCTCTTTGAGCGCTGCTGTCCTCGCTTTCGCCGTCTCCGTGGCCGCCCTTCCCCAGCACGATGCTAACGCTGCTGGCAATGGTGTTGGGAACAAGGGCAACGCCAACGTCCGCTTCCCCGTTCCTGACGACATCACCGTGAAGCAGGCTACCGAGAAGTGTGGTGACCAGGCTCAGCTCTCTTGCTGCAACAAGGCCACCTACGCCGGTGATGTCACCGACATCGACGAGGGTATCCTCGCTGGTACCCTCAAGAACCTCATCGGTGGTGGATCTGGCTCCGAGGGTCTCGGTCTCTTCAACCAGTGCTCCAAGCTGGACCTCCAGAGTACGTTAAGCTTCTCCAAACACTGGTCGCCCATACTGACATATTCTAGTCCCCATCATTGCTATTGCCGTCCAGGATCTGGTCAACCAGAAGTGCAAGCAGAACATTGCTTGCTGCCAGAACTCTCCCTCCGATGCCGTAAGTCTGCTTCTACAAATGGCTAGTTTCCTACTAACGTCCAACAGAGCGGCTCCCTCATTGGCCTGGGTCTTCCTTGCATTGCCCTCGGCTCTATCCTGTAAGCTACTCGTCGCTTCTGCTGTTGGCGCTCTCAGCCAGCGTTTGGAGATTCGATATGGCGGCTCGGGGTAGGGAGCAGGGTCCCGGGAATCTTCTGTTTGATAGATAGGGTACCTGTTGCTGAATTGTGTATCATTAATTGTGCTGTGGCACTCGGAGAAAGAAGATTGCACTGTTTTCCTCAATACTTTCTGCCTGTGGGCAACCAGCATTTATCGATGCTGGCTTTGTCATACATAATTTAATGCATAGAATTGCCTCTAACCTTTCCTGACAAATCTCTTCCTGACAGACAACTTAGTTTGTGCCATTGGCCAATTTGTCATGTCCATGTGCGCGTACATTTCCAGCATTCCTCTCCCACAGGAAGCGCGCCATACATTTCGCCAGCCATTCCACCGTAATCTTCCGTCCTATATACGACGCGTTGTATTTGGAATCCCCTTGATCACGTTCCATGTGAGTCACTTGATGACTAGAGACCTGTAGTCGCGCATTTTATTGGCATCCACCATGTGTGATTATTTCGAAGCTATAGATGACCCGGATACCGCCGAATGTCCTCAAATTCACTGAGCTAACAAGCTGCGAAGTCAGGCATTCCTAGCTAGCACAAATGATAGTGCAGCAGCATGCCCAGCAAATACAGGTCCATCCCCATTGTCAGTTACTCTGATGGACTTTGCACCCAACACTGAGATGAATAGGTCACAATTCTCTGACATACATTAAGAATATCGCATGAATAAAATCTCCTTCTTTGCCAGCAAGTATACAGGATTAAGTTATCGAAAGTATGTATATCAATCCATCGCCCCAGAAAAGAAAGACACGAAAACAAAAGGAGGAGGAAGAAGACGAAGAAGAAGACGAAGAAGAAGAAGACGAAGAAGAAGAAGAAGAAGAAGAAGAAGAAGAGAAGAAGAATCAAATATCCACAGACAAGATAACAGAGCCCCAAACCAGGCCCGCAGACGACCATAGAAACCCAGCCCCCACAACCGCAAAAACAGCCCGGAAGAACAAAGCAAGACTCCAAACTCCGTTACTCGCAAAAAAGAGGCCGAGGCCCCTTGGGGTTCACGCTGCTGTCATTGTCAATGCCGCCGTCGTTGACGCTCCATCTCCTGGCCGCAAGTCGGATGCTGGGGAGCATCGCTGCGCCCATCCGTCTCTCTTTCTTGTCGATGGGGGTCGGCTTCTCAAACTCTACGGTGGCGGTTACCGACGAGCTGAACGACGTCGACGACCGGCAGGATAAGGCTGTGGAGGGCCGTGGCCGGTGGGGTGATTTCGGTGGTAAGGGCCACTTCAGACTGTTGATGCGGAGGGTGCTGATGTTGTTGCTTGTGGTTGATTGCAGGAGGTTGATGATGTCGACCAGAGATTTTCTGGAGCTCTGGCGCCAGGTTGAGTTGCGTTTGGCGTCTCGTTCAGATGAGTTCCCCGTAGCGTCTTCGAATGGTGGTGTGTTGTCCCCGTCGTCGTCGCTTTCCTCGGGGATGTTCTCTATCATGCGGCTTTTGACCTCGGGGAGCTTTGCGGCTTTGGGGGGTGGCGCGGGAATAAGTGGTTCTTTTTGATTTTGATTGTGACGGCCGTGCGTTGCTGTCGGGGTATCGTTGAGGTCCATGTAGATAACTCTGACATTGCTGTCTTTTGCTGAGTCTGCGTCTGCGTCTGCGTCTGCATGTCTATGCTCGACAGACGAGACGAGAGGTCTCTGTTTCTCGTTCTCATTTTCGTTCTCCTGGAGCCCGTCATGGTCGTTCATGGGCTCCTCGGGGCAAATGGTCGTCTGCGAATCGACTGCTTCAACGATCCGAACCGACATCCTCGCTGAGGACTTGCTGGGGACGGTTCTTGAGGCCGCCGAAGAGGCTTGAGACGCTTCGCTCTCCGGCTGGACGTCATTATGCTCTTGAGCTGGGAATTTCAGCGGCTTCCGTCGCTGGATACAGGGGAAGATAGACGATATCAAGTCCATGCTTGCGATGGTGCCCGTTCGTGGACTCCCGGTACACTTTGTAAAAGTAAACTCCGAGTTTTTTTGGAACTGACAAGAGGATCAGATGTAGTTGAGCTACAGCTACGTCTACCGACATATATAGATGCATCTCGTCGCCTCTCATCGGTGACAACCATGTCAACAAACAAATTAACCTTCTGCCTGACACTTGAGACACTATCTCAGCTGATCCGTGGTTCCATCTATTTAATAGCTGATTACTCGAACAATTGGAGCCTTATGCTCGGTGTATAGAATAGTGCAAAGTAAGGAACAGAAACATGTTTGAAGTCTATGGCTTTATTTGCATGACTGAATTGAGCGCGACTCGATTAGAAGGCAATGGTCATATTACTGTATGGTTGATCTTAATTTTGTGAGTTTGCTGGCTCCTAATAGACACTTGATTAGTTAGGGCTATGTCATTACGGATGTGACTATGGAGATCGGGCTGAAACCCTTACTACTCCATTTGATCCAACACCTTAAAACACGACACTTGCTACACCATTCTGCCCACAAGGCACATTTACAGTTCAGATAGGCCTCATGCTCTTTGTTTACACGTTCTGAGAAAGTCACGTTCCCTTTTGAGATAAATGCGGGCAATTGTCCGCTCCGCTATGAGAGGGAGGCAAGGGATAAGCTCCGTGCTTTCTCAATTACATGTAAAGTTCCAGAAAAAATAGCCAAGAGTCCTTACATTCCGCAGGAAGAGGTTTAGCTAGACTGGATGAACAAGGAAAGACGCGGTTCAGTGCTCATCTCACTTATATTGGGGATCTACATTCCAGGTACCAATGACAAACATCCATGATCCAAGTATCCCAAGCGTGATTGCTGACGTACGAAACATTGCAAGAAAGCTAGATAGTCAAACCTCACAGCTTGCTTTGCCCTGCGGTTGCCGTGTACAACGACTTAGACCGATCAATGGCCTCGACGGCCTCTCTCTCAATCCGCTGCAGGAGGTCCGCGCACGTTGGGATGTCGTGAATCAGACCAATGACTTGACCCGCGGTCCATACCTGCGAATTGAACCATGTTAGTTTATGGAATCGCGGCGTAAAACAAGGGATCCCAGCGGGAAGGGGTTAAGAACTTACACCATAGTCAATGTCGCCGTTCAGGAACACCTCGCGGCCTCTCTTGCCGCTAACGAAGGGCGCAATCTCGGCAAACTCGCCTGTCTTGCTCTCCCTCTCGATCTTCAGCGCCTCGTCCGACACCTTGTTCTTAAACAGACGGGAGGTGTTCTTCCACCGTCTCAGAACCAGGTTGGTGTTGTTCTCGTCCGACGCCACAATGGCCTCCTTGACTTTCTGATGGATGGGCGCCTCAACAGTGCACATGAACCGAGTACCCATGTTGATACCTTCCGCACCGAGCGCCAGCGCCGCCGCAAGACCCTGTCCATCCGCGAACCCACCCGAGGCGATGAAGGGAACGTTGAGCTCCTGGCGCGCCCGGCTGAGAAGAATAAAGTTTGTGATGTCGTGCTCGCCGACGTGGCCGGCGCACTCGAAGCCGTCGATGGAGAGGAAATCCACGCCCAGCTTCACGGCGGACTTGGCGTGACGGATGGTCGTGCACTTGTGCAGGATGATCGTGTTGGCTTTCTTCAGCTGCGTAATCACGGGGCCGGGGTTATTGCCCGCTGTCTCGACAATCTTGACGCCTTCGTCGATGATCACTTGTGCATAGGCGGCGTAGTCGGGGGGCACGAGGGCTGGGAGGAGGGTCAGGTTCACGCCGAAAGGCTTCTTGGTCATGGTTCGGCATCGACGGATTTCCTTGCGGAGGTCTTCCGGGGTGGGTTGCGTGAGTGCAGTGAGCTTGGGAGAGTTAGCGGAGTTAGCGATTGTCTTTCAGACTCGATTGTCTCGAGTGCGTCGTAGACGTACAATTCCCAGACCACCTGCGTTGCTAACCGCCGCAGCGAGCTCTGCGTATCCAACCCATTGCATACCTCCCTGTACAACAGGGACTGTAAATCTGTCAGCAACCTGAGCCGCTCTCCACAATTCCAAGTCCATGCAACTCACCGGCGATGCCCAGTTTCCTCGTTAACGCAGTGTGGAAAGGCATCTTGTCGCGGAGACGAGCTAACAGAATGAAACACCACTATCAAGTTCTAAAAATGCGAGAATGATTGAATTCTTCTATGCCAAAATCTTCAAAGAATTTCTAGAAAACAGGAAAGAAGCAGCTATTAACATGAGTTGACCACTTCGCTATGCTGAGAAATCGGCTGTTGTGCTGACCACTGTGAACTGTGTAACCGCGGACCTCTTGGTGTGGGGAGGACGAGTTGCCGAGGTCGAAAGGTGTCGGCCTGCGGCTTGCGGCCAGCGATCCCTAATTCGGAGGTATCTCCAGATGGGCCGATGGTGTTTCGGACGTGGATTGTGGAGTAGACCCAGAGCCAGCTAATCTTGATCTTCCAAAAGAGACTTTATTCTGATGAGATGATCGAATAATGTTTTTTAGTACAACTCTGTACCCCGTAGTGTTGGTCTGTCTGGTGACTGAGTGGATCGCCTGAGCTCTCAGCATGTGATCCGGGGATTTTGTGTGGTGCATAAACTGTATAACCCTCTTCATTCAGCAGATACAAAACTATGAAGGATCTAATATTTCCGATGGCTTGGGTTGATGGCTATAAACTATCATCAAGGGTAGTTGTAGATATAGATATGGACCGAAAGAGTCTGCCAGACGGCGAACCAAGAACGCCCATTATAATGCATAGATACATCCGAAAGACTGTTTTATGACACATGCCCCCTCTATTTGGCGCCCATTTGACTGGCCAGCCAAGTCTCATGTAGCTTCTTCTGTCTCTCCCAGTCCTTGCGAAGCTTCTTCGCTCGGCTCTTCGTAATCTCCTCGCCTGCAGCATCACGAGTAGGGATACCCTCTTCATCCCAGGCGCTGTACTCGTTGGTCCGGAACAGCTCCAGGTGGCTCAGTTTGCCCTTCTCCAGTTTCTTGAGGGCTTCCTTCTCCTTGTTCTCCTTTTCAATCTGCTTCTGGCGCGCCCGCGCTGCCTTTTCCTCCCGCGCCTGGATCAGCTCTCGGGTAACAGGACGGACCAATGCGGGAAGGTTGTCTCGGTCTTCAAGGTAGATGCCGAGATCAAACAGGTCGATGTCGCGAACGCGATCGCAAAGTGCCAGGATCTCCTTGCCAAGCGACTCGGATTGCTGGATAGAAGACACTTTAGTGCGGAAGTTCGAAAGAAGTTCAGCATAAGGTTTTGCGGATTCAGTCAGGTCCTGCTCTGGCACTTCTCCCTTGTTCACAATCTCCGCAACAGTCTCCGCGGTAACTCCCTCCTTAGCCCGCGCGGCCTGGCGGAGCGAGTCACGCATGCTGGACAGCGGATACAGGAAAGGCTTGGCTTCTTCAGGCACATCAATACCTGTCCAGCCAATTTCCGTGCTGTCGGCGGTTGCCTTGCCATTCAAACCGAAGATATTAACCATCGAGGTCACCCACCGCGCGACAGCCTCGACATCCTTGGGGTTGAGTGTAGACTTGTCGGCGCCGTTGTACTTCGAGATTAGCTCTGAAATCGCCGACATCGCTCCCTGCGTATTGAAAGAGTCGCACAGATGATCGAAAGTAGCCTTCTTCGCGGCCTCCAGAGCGGCAGGGAGAGTGGTGTCGGAGCCCGACGTCTGGCCTGATAGCGTCGCAGGATCCTTCATCTTGATGAAGAAATTGTTGACTTTGTCCTCCCAAGAATTTCCAGCACTGACGAGTTCCTCTGTGATTTCAACGCCGTCCCTCCAACCCCCGAGCAAGAAGACAATTCTGAGACTGCGCGGTGTCCACTCCTTTCTCTCCAGTGCCTCGCGGATGGTTGTGAAGTTCTTAAGCGACTTCGACATCTTTGACCCTTGAATCGACAGATGACCCATATGCAGGAAATAGTTCACCCACTGATCAGTGTGTGAGTGGCCATGGGACCAATAAGCCTCACTCTGCGCCAACTCGTTGTCATGGTGAGGGAAAGCTAGATCAACACCTCCCGAGTGGATATCCATCTGCTTGCCAAGCTTAGCCGAAGCCATCGCAGAGCATTCAATGTGCCAGCCCGGCCTGCCCCGACCCCAGGAGCTCGTCCAGCTGGGCTCACCAGGCTTCGACGCCTTCCAAAGTGCAAAGTCAGAAGCTGAACGCTTCTCTGTTGTCTTCTTGGTCAATGCGCCTTCTCCCTCCGCGAGCAGCTTGTTATCGGACCGGCTCCAGGGCTCAAGCCGGGCATAGGGGTGTCCGGCATTCTCGAAAGCAGTAATATCGAAGTACACCGAACCGTCATCCGTAACGTAGCCGAACTTGTTCTCAACAATTTTCTCCACAAAGTCTGCAATCTCAGCACCATACTCGGTGACCCTAGTCAACTCATCGGGGTCAAGGACGTTGAGATCGCGCATATCCTTCATGAACCGCTCCTCGTACTTTTTCGTCAACTTCGTGAAAATGGAATGATCGTCCGCATTGATCGAGGACGCCTTGAGCGAATCCAGATATGGAAGGAGAAGGTCCTGAGCATTTGTGTAGAAGGACTCGGCGAAGCCCTTAGGGGCTGTAGCCTGGTCGAGGCCTTCCGCCTGCGCGATCACCTTCGCAGCTGATGCCACCGTCTTGATGTGCATCTTGACCTTTGCCTCGTCATCGCCCGCCTTCTCATTGCCGGGCAAGGGTCCTCCATTCAACACAGTCGCGTAGACCTTCTCCACCTCCTCTTGATACTGCGCCGGGGGTAGTTCGGGGTTCAGTAACGGGAGGTTCTTCTTCAAATAGGCAGTATATGCGTTTCGCGCAATGTCCAGGACTTCGGCGCCGATTGTAGGGTGCGCGAAGACGAACTCATTGAAGAGATGCTGCTGGCGCGCTCGGAGGATGATCTAGATGTCACTGCGTCAGCACATTGCTAAAAAGACCAATGGCACAGGTAAAGTCTTGCACACCTTGTCATCGACATCTGTGATATTCATGATAAACTTCACATCGAAATGAAAGTAGTCGCGCATTATACGCCGAATGATATCTGTGCTGACATAGTTCCTGGCATGGCCCAAATGCGCATCGTCATAGACAGTCGGCCCACAAGCATACCAGGTCACCTTCTTTCCTTCAGGGTCAATAGGAATGAATGGATTCTTCGACCGCGTCAACGAATTCCAAATCTTCAGAGGCGGTAAGCGAGATTTGGCCTCGGGATACTCTGTTGGTTGCCGCCATGGCGGCTGCTGGCGCGCGGTGGCCATTGATCTAGAAAAAATCAACAGAGGACAAAGGAGCGACAACCGGGCCTTTGAGGGATTTGCAAAAGAGGAGACCGAGAGTGAGATACGAGAGAAGGATATGGGCATCAAGGACAGAGGGAAGAAGAGGAAGATGGAGATCTGGGACGACCACCTTAAAACGAGGGGGAGGGGTTGAGCAATAATGTTTAACTACCTAACTGGGTGACTCATGGAGGCCTGGGAGCCTGAGGTTGGAATCCGAACGGATAAGTCTAAGTTACGTAGCCAATCGGAGCCCAGCAGGAACCAGCAGTTGCTCGCCCTGACATTTAGCCCTGAGCCCTAAGCCCTGAGTATAAGCTATTTCGGGTCTAGACCGCATCGGAGATTCTCCAAAGCTTGTCGCCGCTGTAGTACTAGGGGTTTAGAGATGGGTGACGGTTTTCTTGGATAGCTCGAGGATAGAGATATCTTGGGCTACATTCTCTCAACAACCTCTGGACCCCCTCCGCCGCTCCTCTGCGATTGCAGGCAGTCGCAATGGGCTCCCCGTTCCTCAACCACCGCCTTCGGTCCGAATTGGGCGACCTTGCTTTACTTCATCTCCGCAGAGACCAGACCATCCCGACTATCCTCAAACTAGAAGACGACGAAAATCAGGGTTACAAGGAGGGGAAAGTCACCAACACTCGTTTCGGGTCATTTCCGCACAGCACGCTTATCGATCAACCATGGGGTTCGCAAATTGTCGCCTCTGTAGTAGACACAGGCTCCCGGGGTCGCAAGAATCAGCCATCCAAGAAGCGCAAAGCGGATGATTTGGACACCCCGACATCGAACAAAGAGGAGGCGCAATCTTCTCCTGGCACGCCCCGCGCAGCGGCCAGCGGGTTCCTTCACCTTCTATACCCTACACCGGAATTATGGACCGCGTCGCTCCCGCATCGGACCCAGGTTGTCTACACACCAGACTACAGCTACATTCTGCATCGGCTCTGCGTTCGCCCAGGGAGCACAATTATCGAGGCCGGAGCTGGGAGCGGCTCATTCACACATGCATCTGTCCGCGCGGTCTTCAACGGATACCCCTCCGAGGCACCCGCAGCTAAGAAAAGAAGGCTAGGGAAGGTCTGCAGTTTCGAGTTCCACGCACAGCGCGCACAAAGAGTCCGGGAAGAGATCCATGACCACGGCCTGGATGGACTGGTTGAAGTGACGCACCGCGATGTCTACGAAGATGGATTTCTCCTTGGGGACCCGAAAACCGGCAAATCGCCGAAAGCGAATGCGATCTTCCTCGACCTGCCGGCGCCATGGCTTGCGCTCAAGCATCTCGTTCGCAGGCCCCCTTCGGGAGCGGAATCGCCTCTCGATCCCTCGTCGCCGGTATATATATGCACGTTCTCCCCATGTATCGAGCAAGTGCAACGGACGATCACCACACTTCGCGAGTATTCTTGGCTCTCAATATCAATGGTTGAGGTGAACCACCACCGGATTGATGTCAAACGCGAACGAACGGGATTAGATTGCGAAGGTGTCCGGGGCGCAACTGTCTTCCCCAAGTCGGTGGACGAAGCCGTCGCTAAGATGCGCGCCGTCGAGGAACACTCGAAAAGATTCCGCGAGTCTCTCCTTCAAGAGAGCGACGATGAAGGCACCGCCTCCGACAAGCCAGCAGCAACCAAGTCAGAAAAGATAGAAGTCGAAGAGAACTCTCTACAAGACATACCGCAGCATTCGGACACAACCGCAGCTCGATCATCAACCCCATCGTACGAACTCGGCCGCCTGGTACATCGCACCGAACCGGACCTGAAAACGCACACATCGTATCTCGTCTTTGCTATTCTACCCCGCGAATGGACAGAGGAAGACGAGCAAAGGTGTCGGCAGACCTGGCCGGCTCAGAAGACGGGGGGCTCACCGGACGCAGGAAAACCGAAAGGCAAGAAGCAATTAAAAAGGGAAGCGAGGGAGAAGGAGGTGCAGGAAAAGGCGCAAATGTCAGAAGACATCCCTGCGCAGCCCCAGGAAACCTAATCATAGATCGAAATTGTCGCTATTGTGATATAATCTAGACGCTTGGAATACAAGATGAATAATCAGGCACCTCAAGATCCTGACTTCACGTATGCCATAAAAATTGGGGGATCTGGGAATGTATATATACAATGAGATCCAGTGAATAAGAGAATTGTACCCTGTGGGCGCAGCGCAAGACTCAAGATGTTCAGCCAGAATATGCCAATGCATCCGAGAAATGGTATGAATGAGGAAACAGGCTTAAAGTGATGAGTGATGTAAAGATGGACAGAACCACAGCATTGTAGGAGCAGAGATGTGAGACATGCATCCCGGAGCATCTCAAACTCTCCCTGATGATGAATAGCACTATGCCTTAGAGATTGTTCTCTGCCTTGAACTTGTCCCAGGCTTCGTTCAGGACACCAAAAACTGCCCCTGCGATCATACGCTGCTCGGTCGTGGCGGTGGTAGGGATCTGACTCGTCTTAGCTATGGTCTCTTCATCAATGCCGCAAAAGACAACATACCTTGTCAGGATGCACCTTGGCAATCCCCTTCATGTACTGCACCTTGACTTTATTCGGCAGAATTAACTCCGACATGTTGACCTTCTTCCACCCTGCTTCAGGCCACAGGACTGTGTCCAGGCTAGCGAGCAGCGCGCGAAGGTTGTCCTGCTTCCCGCCCTTCCAGGCGTTTAGCCGTGCATCGACGCTCTCGCCGAGGGCAAATTTCTCCTCGTCCGCGCGCTCGGCTGCCTGGTTTGCCGCTCGCAAACGGCTGACAGCCTCGGAGGATCCGCCAGTCGAAGGCGAGCCACCTTGGAGGTCGTCCAAAGCCGACGGCTTCTTCGGAGCGGGTGCTGGCGGTCGCTTCGCCGGCGCGGAAGGTTTCTGTGCGGGTTTGCTGATACCAGCAGCTTTTTCGCATCTGTTCCGGCCTTGGATACTAGTACTTCCGCCATGGCCGTTCTCGACTGCCTGTCTCCATGCCTGAGCGGCATCGGCCCAGCGTTCCAATTGCTCCAATGCTTCGGCCTTGCGCATCAAGGCTTTACCATAGAAATCTTTCATTGGCTTTGCCGTTTCACCGTTAGCGAGATCAATAGTCTCGGCTTCTCCTTTTGAAGGGCCAATCAGCTCCAAGATGGCGTCCGCATCACTGATGGCCACTTTCGGCTCGCCGACCTTCAAGGCTGTCATTGCACGGTTACTGCGAATGACGATGGTGATGGGATGCTTATCAGGTAGCATAGTGAGGGCAGAGGTGAAGGCGTCGTGAGCTGCGGCATAGTCACCTCTTTTGTATGCCTCTGTACCTTTCTCACGATGCCGGTGAGTCGACATGAGACTCTCCTGTGACAGCTGCGGAACGACTCGGGCAGGAGCCTTCGGCCGAACCGGAAGAGGTTTTGCTGGTGCAGGTGGCTTTGAAGGTTGCGCTGGGGGTGGAGAGGCCCGCGATCGGTTGGCTGGCGGTGTTTGTGCAGAAGAATCGAATAAATCGACATTGGCCTCAGGAGCGGATGGTTGTGCAGCAGGCCGTCTTCTCCTAGCAGGGCTAACATACGCTTGCGCCGTCTGCTCTTCAACCAGGTTTTTGGACACACGAGACTTGGGATTCAGTGATTCGTTTCTCAACTGCTGCTGCATGAAAGCGGGCTGCGAGGTACGCGCCTCTCCAGCTGGGGACTGTTGGCTCCGTAAGCCATTGCTATGCGTTCGCTGCGAGGGCCTTTCGCTGACTCGAGATTGGTTGCGAGACGGCCGGGGAGCAGCCCCAGGTTCAAGAAGAAGAGCCTCATCTGTTAGAATCTCGAGCTTCCTGTGCGAGGTTTCAGGAGCACGGTCGTTGTCAGTTGGCCGTGGCCAGGGCTCCTGACGGGCCGAAGCTTCCTTCAGCCACCGAGGCTGTGACTGATCATGATCAGAGTTGAGTTCATTAACGACCTGCTGAACCTTTTTGCTCCCCTGTTTCCACAGTGAATTCGCAGTCTTCAAAAAATTGTTACCAAAAGTGGCGGCGATTTGTGACGGATCTTTGCTTGTTGATGCTGGGGACCGATTGCTAGCACGGCTTCTCGACTGCTCTTCTCTCATCCAGGAAGGAACGTCAAGGTCCTGTCTTGGGCTCCGCTCTCTGCTGCGTTCCTGATGGTCGAAATCACGATCGACGGCCGGTGTCCTACTTTTCGATTTCTGACGAGCTTCTTCATGTGCCTGTGTCAGAAGCAAACTCACAGCAGCTTGGACGTCGGTTCCAGACGCCGTTGCCCGTAGTGCCTGGCTGGCCTTGTCTGCGGGAAAGCCCATGTCTACAAGCTCTGCAATCGCCCGATCAACAGCATTGGACGGCTTGGGGGAAGGCGCATGATCCTCATGGATGACCGGAGATGAGGGTTTCGGCGACGGCTCGGGTGCGGGGCGAGAGACTTCAGAAACTGGCTTTCCCAGCAAGCCAAGGAAGTCATCGTCGTCGGTCTGAGCGGGTTGCGGGGTTGCCGTTGGCTTCGACTTTAGCTGATTGAGTCCAAATGGATCGTCATCGACATCGTTGAACGACATTCCACCGGTCTGGTGCAGCTGCGCCGCCGCGGTAGATGCGCTCTGCGCGATCTGCGGCGAGGGGCTCGGGCTCGGGATCGGGAAGTTCGTCGAAGCGTCTACAGGCGCAGAGGCGTCGAAAGCAGCAAGAAGATCGTCCTCATCCGCAGAGGGAGCTCGCTGCGGTACAGGACTTTGCGCCGATGCAAAGGGATTCTTGCTCCCGGTTCTCTCCAAACTATCCCAGAACTGGGCATTTTGTCCCCCGTATTGTGATTCAAACTTGGACCTATTCTCTGCTTCCTTTCTGGCGCGCTCTTCTTGCAGCCTCTTCTGTTGCTCTAGGAGAGATAGTTTCTTATTCGCATTTGACGAACCAAAGGATACAAGTTTCGCAAAGCTGTCCGGGGTCGCCGACTTGGACGGTGGGTGAGAGGGGCCGGTGGCAGAGAGGGGGGTAGATCGGCCAGAAATGTTATTGCGCGTCACACTGGGAAATGAGAATCCGGAGTCCAGACGCGGGGGTTTCTGAGCGCTCTGTGAAGAGTTGGATGTCCAACTTAGTCCGTTCAGGTCGTCCATTGTGATTGTGTGAAGGGGAATGACAAGCGGAGGTCTGGAGGGGACGGGATTAGGAGAAGGATAGACGTAGATGCGAGCGTTCCATGATCTGATCTCACCATCGAATACCACCAGGGCCGAGTGAGCTGATTGGGCACGAAGTGAACAGGAACCTGCCTCGAAGACAGCGTGTTTTCCTACCTTTCACCTACTGTCTCCGCAATGTCACCGTCAATTGCCCCCTGTAGATAGTACCCGAAATTGTGGCTGAGGCAGCTGAGGTGGCTGCCCAGCGGTCAATGTGGCTGATAAATAATCACGTGTTTATTGTCTGTTGTCACGTGTAATACCTCTTAGTAGATTCGAACGGACTACAGAGTGACCTACCTTAGTCCTTCGGCATTCCAGTGTGTTACCATACCGTACCAGAGTTACCGGTGCCCACAGCACTAGGTACCTACCAGATACCTTACCTTATGAATGGCTCAGCAGTATTAGCAGACCCTACCTTAGCGAATAGCAACTGATTCGATTTAAGCCTTTCAAGAGGGTCTCGATTTACTCTATTATTAAAATAACAACGTGCGACACGAAGGGTGCTCATCCACGCTTCGTAGGTAGGTTCTCTCAAACCCTGGACCTAGTGCATCGCTTGATGATGAGGTGTGGAGAGTTGTAGGGAGTACGCCATACCAAGTTGATGGTACGGTCATACCTACATGGCTGTCTGGGCAGAGGACATGCCATAGAGACTATTGACTAGGACAATGCGATTATGATCAGATCACCAGTGAGGCGAGAAAAAAAGTCTCATTGTTAACCCCTTTATTCGGCATTGCAAAGTGTCCAATTGCCAACTTAGGGTGCGTTCCAACCTAAAAGATCAGGTACCATGGTACACAATGATACTATCAAAGTCAGATCTGGCAGAAGGACAGATGACGCTGGAGATGCTTGACAGTCTAGGTCCCACTTTCAGTTGCCAGCACGCACTACGGAGTGTACGGTGCGGGATCAGCAGTACACGGAGTTTGTAATGGTCTAGTGGTCGACCAAAAGGCATCTCGTTGGCTGTCCGGTAAGCAATAGGCGAACGCTGCTATGACTCTGTGAGACTGTGAAGATCCTTGAGAGTGCGAAATACAAAATAATTGCATGGAGACATTGGTGCAAAGCCAGGAACGACTTGTGCTGCCAGTTGTCTGTCTGCCACTCATGTTCCATGCACCAACTACTACAGAGTACGTCCAGCAGTTTGAAAGAGAGTGGACATCTCCGACACTAAGACTAGAATGGATACCCTGGTGTGACATGGCATATGTTCCTACATTAGACTCGGTCTGCATGAATCACACAAGATGATTACTAATGAAATTATATCGACTTTGCCGCGTCCAGAAGCATTTACATGCTTCCATATCGACCCAGGTAATAGAGAGGAGGTTCGCAATTGTTGCCGACGACAGAAAAGCCGTGCCTCGCAAAGGACAAACTATCGTTCTAACATGTTTCATGTTTTCAGGATGGACCTTTGCAATGTTAGTCAATAATGGCAGATGGAACTATGGTCAATCAATGGCGGGGGTAACAGGCTTAAAACAAGAACACAGCGCGAGACTGAAGCAAATCAATTTGGTGTTCTCCCCTTTTCACAAAACACTAAATAAAAGCCCGTCCATTCGGATTCAATTCCCCTCAGCAGTAAGACGGATAATTTACCCTTTTGATATGGAAGGTTCTGACGGGCTGAGCCTCTTGAGGGGTGAATCTGAGCCGATGGAGAAGCAGGAGCTAAGAAGCACATGCAAGTCGAAAACAACCCCTCAGAGGCAGAAGCCAAAATGAAAGTCTTGGACATTAATTGACAAATAAACTTGAAACCCAGCAGTCCCAGCAGTATGGCCAGGATCGTGTCTCCCGCGCTAATCTTGACGCCGGTGCGTTGAGGTTTAAAGAGGGTGTCCAAGGGGTCGTAAAGCGAAGAATAAGCCATCTATGTTAGCCTGTTAGTCCTGTTAGGCCAGGAAGAAGCCCATAGATTTATCACATATCACCCTAACCTTTGTACATGGTCTCAGGCGGATTATTATTAATAAACCAGAAGGGTACAAGGAGAGTAACACCGCATACAAGCTATTCCCGCAATGCAAAACAACATATAAACTAGATAAGATACAAAGTTGATGGTATAATACATACCACTATACTCTGTAGTCCGTTCTCTAGAGTCTACAGGCTATGGCCCGCTATCTGGATTCACAGTGAGTCTGCTGAACAGTGTGCTTCGGCCGTTAAGTCCAAGCATGATCATCAGGATCAAAGTAAACACAAAGCTATTATTGTTTGCCACTCATCCAGTCTAACGAGTGGAAAGGTTGAGCTATTCTTGTCGACAATAATGATAGCAACAAGAAGAATAAGAAGGGAGATGCAAGTAGCTTCCGGCCAGCATGTGGGTTGTGCATATTATTGGCTTACTTGGCCCATAGCCAGTGGCGTCAAGTATTTGTGGGGCTTGCAATTTGCATATAACAGTGGCATTTTCGTCGCTCAGTAGTCAGTTTCTCGCGTAGATAGTTGTTCTTATTATGTAGGTCGCAGAATATACTATCTAGGACATGTGTCGAGACTAAGAAGCATAGGGTGCGAGATGGTGGCGATGATAACACACCAGCCACCAAAAATGGAAGTGTTGGAAAGTAGGTAGTCTAAGGATCCGGACCGGCCAGAAATCTAGATCCGCTTTCCGCACCCTTGGGGCGAAGGGGAGAAGAGGAAAAGATCCGGACCGGTTTGAATGGCGAATGACTCCTGAATCCTGACCCATATCTAGATAGATAGTCCAAATACGGAGAAGTGCCATAAATGATAAATCATCCTTGTCGGCCTTGTCCACCTGGCTGTCCGTGCTCATACCGGCTCCCCTTGGAAGTTGTCGCTAAACTGTTGTGGGCAAAAGAAAGTGAGGTGCTAATGGCGTACGTAGTAAAAGTAACTTAATAAGGTGGACACTGGATACTTGCGATGAATACTTACTGGTACTACTAGTACTGTGTTGTACTTGTACAGTACCTTCTACGAGTGTACCTAGGTAATTTGGAAGAAAGTCATACATAGCTGTTTATAAGTACTCCATAGTACCTACCTCGTCATTATTTTAGGCCGGTAGTCTGTACTCAGAAGTAGCAGGTGAATAGCATAATAGTATGGACTGCAGTGACACTTCCGCGGGGTTGATTATTCCGGCAGCAGTACAATAACTGAGTCAGAAATGCATCAATCATATCAACATCGACTCTGCCTACTGCGGACAAGTAGTAAGATTGAATTCAGCCTTTTAAACTACAAAATAACGCGAACGTAAAATTCTGTCATTTTTGAGTTTGTCCTTAGTATGGATACACCTTTAACTCGGGTCTTACGCGGGGCAGAGAAATCACCCCTCTTCCCGTTGGGAGTCAAGTGAAAAGGATGAATGAAAAGGATCTGTTTGACAATCTACGACACTACCACCTTAGGCTTCCCTGAAGTCTGCTGGATGCCTCTTTCTGAGTTCTTCTTTCTGCCTTGCTCCCTTTGCTCTTTGCTCCTTTGCAAAATTGCAAAGCTCTCCACCAGTCGACCTCCCAACTCCCATGGTCGAATACGGTGATTGCACGCTCACAAGTGCTAGTCCTGAATGGTGCTAGATAAAATGATCAATATCGTACCTAAAGTTCTCTGAGTCCCCTTAATCACGCCGAATTCTCGTTCAGAGGTGATCGAGTCACCCACCCGCCCCGCTTGATTTTTACTAGTATTATCATTTTTACTGCGTATTTATTATGATTTATATTTCCCGGGTTTTGTGCCTTAATTGATCTCATTATTATTATTATTATTATTAACTCTATTCCCATGCTATAATATTTATTTATTTATTGTTGCTTTTTCGAAATTAAATTTTCGTTCCTAGGGGAAATACAGCGAGGGGGTGCAACTCGTCCACCAACTCAGCCATACCAGCGACAAGCTCTCAAAACAAACGCTTCCTCCGTGTCTCCAGGTATCGGCCGCAGATCATTATCTTTTCGATGTGCACTGTCTCCTTTCCCCTTCAGTGAAAATTGACCGATCTCTGTCTTGCGCCTTTTGCTTTCTCGAAAATCAACCTCACTCTAGATACTCGCCAGTCTAATTCCTTTTCACCAGTGTTCCGCTCCCTCTCTTCTGGAGACGCTAGACGACGACTGCCCGGTTTCCTCATCGGCCATCGACAATCAACCCCGTGTACCTCCCTTCGCCATGGGTCTCTTCAAGCGCAAGGACTCGAAGAACTCTATTCAGAGTGATAAGGATGAGCAGGATTCTTTTGCTTCTGTCAACAGTGCTCGCACGTCGAATGCATCGTTGAGGTCCCCCGGATACAAAGGAAGTGGACTGCCAGCTTCGATCCCAGAGCTTCCAATTGCCAGACCCCCGGATCCGGCATTGGATCCTGCAGCTTACCTTCGAAGCATCCATGCTGTCCGTGAGCGGTCTCGCATCATTTTCGACAAGGCAAAGAAGAACAGACTGAAGCACTTCGATGTCGATATGACCAAATTCAAGGCAACAGCTTCATATATTGTGTCGATCATCAAAGTACGCGCCTTCTCTGCGTCCTCGAACCATGCGGTGCTTGGGTTATAGCTGACATTGACCTTTCCTCAGAGAGACTATGCGCCGGATTATGCATCCATACCACCCCACGGTCGCTGGCAGCATTTTGACGTTGGCGGGAGGCCCCGTGTGAATCAATTGCTTCAGTCTTGGCCTAGCACAATTGATGCGCAGGAACGGACACGGCGTCTGATTGACCTTTTCGTGGTCTCCGTCCTTCTCGATGCTGGTGCAGGGACGAAGTGGTCGTACAAATCAAAAGAGTCTGGCAAGGTTTATTCTCGGAGCGAGGGATTGGCGGTGGCCACTCTGGAGATGTTCAAGAGCGGCTTGTTCAGTAGTGATCCCACGGAACCATGCCAGGTCGACGGTGCGGGCCT